ATATACTTAGGGTTATGGGGTTTTCCACCCATTAAATTGAATATCTATGAATCTACTTTCTAACTCATTAAACCGTTTGTCAATAAGATATCGAAGTAGAGAGATATGGGCGTTTTTGCGAGACTGCGCAGACTGTCACCTGCTTGCTTAAATTAGAGTCCAAATATGGGCTAGTTCGGGTAGTCCAAAGAGTCCTTTTTAAAGTCCTATCTCCTTCATATATTAGACTGATAATAGGGCATAATAACCAGACATAAGCTCTGCAGAAATCCTCCCAACAATTTCCCACAAACCCCAATTGACTTTCTCTCCTTTTCAAGTTGTAATTGGAGGTAAAACTTAGAGTTTGAAGAACTAAGATAGGAGCTGAGTTATCCAACAAATATGTAAGTTAATGCTCTCTTTCATCCATTTTTTTATGCTGTAAATGCATAGTAAGTCGTTCTATATTTGTAAGAACTCACGGGACGGTGATCGGAATCCGTGAGTTCGAGTTATTCACTTGTAGCGGACTATTTTGTGGGCTATTTTGTGTTGCCTTTGGGCTGTCTATTTTGCTATTGTTTAATAGAGTTTTTGAGGACAAATTTTGTGGAGAAACACCATATAATGACGGAATGGTGGGCTGATCGTTCGTCGTTACATCTTTTTTAGGTTGTTTGACACTACTTTGGTTGTCATTTTATGTATGAATTGATTAGGGTGTGTGGGCTGTTTTGTGGTATATTGTGATGGAGATAAGGTTGGAAAATGATGCTTATATGTTTTTATTGTTGTGTTCTTGTTGTTGGTATATGGTATTAGAGGAGGGCCTAGTTACAGGGGAGATGCTGCCCAAATTTACGTAAACGAGCTACTAGTTTAAGTTGCGGACTTAGCCTTTACTCAACACTGATTTTGAATCTCCTTGTGATATGGTAGATTGAGTTGAATTGTTTGAAGAATTTCTTGGAAGGTATTAAGGACTCAATGGAGTTAAGGTATGTTAAGGCTAAGCCCTTCCTTCATTTTGGCATGATCTCGTAACTACATGTCTTTGATAACGAGGCATAAAGAGAAGTTCATACTCCCGAATTTATATACATTATTCTAGTCTTATAAGTTACAGTATTCTCCCTTATAGGGACTTTATATTCAATTGAGTATTGTCTTCTTCTAGTCAAGAGAGCAGAGGGTCTATATATATACAGTATTACAGTATTTTCACCACCATCGAGCTATAATCGGTGGGCAGGCCCCTATTGGGCAACCTATGATCAGATGGTAAGTTATATACCGAGCCTACTGTGGCTAAGCGCGTATGAGTGAGCCCAGGATGGCCGAAATACAGAGCCTAGTATGGTCGAGTGCCTATAGCGAGCCTACTACTGCCGAGCAGTTAAACGTACCGGGCCTTATAGAGCCGAACATTTATTTTACTTACTATATTGAAGGAGTTAAGTCAGTATCAACAGGTAAGTATATCTCCAGATCATCTTTGACTCCTAGTTACTTTCAGTTATTATATTATCAGTTCAGTTTCAGCTTTCAGTTATGTTATTGCCTTACATACTCGGTACATTATTTCGTACTGACGTCTCTTTTCTAGGGACGCTGCATTTCATGCGTGCAGGTTCAGAGAGACAGACAGGTAGACCTCCTCAATAGGTGTTTCTCGAGTTCAGCCTGACCGGTAAGCTCCACGTCCTATGGAGTTGTCGGGTCTAGGGTTTTGTGTACATCTTCTGTATGTATATATGTTATGGGTAGGTCGGGGCCCTGTTCCGATCACAATACATCCATCAGTAGAGGCTTATAGACGAGTCCTGTATATTTTGCATATCAGTAGATGTTCATGGCGGCTTCGTCGGTCTGCACAGTTATATATATCAGGTTTTAGGTATGTTTACCCCATAGATAAGAAAGACGTTATTTCAGACGATTTAGAATATGGCCTCATCATCCTAAGTTGAGGGTTACCCCTCCAGAGTTCACAGTTACAGAGTGGTAGGCTCGGGCCGAGTATGGCACCGGGTGTCGGCCACGCCTCTTCAGGTTTGGGGTGTGACAGAACGGTTGTTTCAGAGGTGGAGAATGTGATGACCCGATAGGTCATCTAGAGTTTTAAACCTTAATTCTATTTTTCGAATCCTAAAATATCACATTTTATCCTTCCTCGATTTGCATACGCAGTCCGTATCTTTTTCTGGGAGGCTTTTATGTTAAAACAAATTGATAAAATGTGAAATTTTGCTTTAAAGATCCATTTGAGTTGTCTTCAGTCAACTTTTTGAGAAAAAAGACCCGGATTTATATTTTAACGATCCCGGTAGGTCCCTATCGTGATTTGGGACCTGGGCGTATGTCCGGAATCGAATTCTGAAGTCCCTACCTCGAGTTATCACATTTTTGTCGAAAATTTAAAGTTTGAAGGTTTAATGAATTTAAAGATCTGACCAAGGTTTGACTTTATTGCTATCGGGACCGAATTTTGGTTTTGGAGCTTGGTATATATTCATTACTATATTTATAACTTGTCTGCAAAATTTGGTAAAAAACGGAGCTGGTTTGACGTGATTCAGTCGTCCGTTTGTTAAAATAGAAATTCTAAAGTTTCATTGAAAATTTCATTTGATTTGATGTATGATTTATAGTTCTAGGTGTTATTTTGATATTTTTATCACGCGAGCGAGTTCGTATGAGGTGTTTGGACTTGTGTGTATGCTTGGTTTGTAGCCCCGAGGGCTCAAGGTGATTTTCTGATAGGCTACGGAGTTAATTTGGACTTAAAATATTGTTTTCGAACATATTGTTTGCATTTGCGAAGGCAATATAGATCGGGACCTTCGCAATTGCGAAGGATTTACCGCATTTGCTGGGTTCACAATTGCAAACCCCAGGTCGCAATAGCGACATCTGCGCCTGGACCTAAGCTAAGTTAGACGGGATTTTGTTCATTCTTTCAAATTTTCAAACCTAGAAAACCTTAGAGGCTATTTGTCCAAGAGCTCTTCTTCCCCAATTCGTTGGTAAGTAATTCTAACCTACTTTCTTTCAATTACCCATTACATTTCATAAGATTTCAACGTAAAATCTAGGATTTTCATGGTAGAAATTGAGGATTTGGGTAGAATTAGGGATTTTTGTAAAAATTGGAATTTAGACCTCAAATTGAGGTTGGATTTCAAAAAAAATTACATAACCGAGCTCGGAGGTGAATGGGTGATTGGGTTTTGGTTCGAATTTCGGGTTTGGATGAAACGGGCCAGGGAGTTGACTTTTGTTGATTTTTTCAATAATGACCTAAATTGAACCTTTCTCATTCGTGGGTAGTTCATAAGGCTTATTTTGAATCATTGGTTGATAATTTGCTAGACTTGGTTGGCTCGGAAGCTTGTTCGAAAGGCAAAGCCGTGGCTGAGCTTTGAGTTGATATTTGGAGCGAGGTAAGTATCTTGGTTAACCTTGACTTGAATGATTTGGACTTGTTTGTCTATTTGCGACGTGTTTAAATGTTGGATACAATGTATATGTGAGGTGACGAGTACTTATGCGTTGTTGTTGGGTTAAAGCATGCAGTTGAAACTTGTTTCTCGTGATTTATTCCCTTCTTTGATTATGATATCCATGTATAGACTAGTTTATTACTTAATTGATCATTCTTTCCTCATTTATTAATTATTTGTGATAATTGAATATTATTGGAAGTTGAGGCTCGGTATTGTGGAAATGTTATTGACGTTAGGTTTATTCTTGATTATTCTTTCTCCCAAATGTTTATATTTAATGCTTCGTGGTGAGGGAGAGAGTGTTAATGCACAAAGGCGGATGCCATGCCGATTATTGATCCATTTGTTTATTTATACATAGTGAGGAAGAGAGTTAAAGCACGAAGGGTGATGTCGTATCATATTTATCATTTTATGATGAAATTGAGAGTAAAAGCACGAAGGGTGATGTCGTATCGTATATATCATTTTATGGAGAGATTGAGAGTAAAAGCACGAAGGGTGATGTCGTATCGTATTTATCATTTTATGGAGAGATTGAGAGTAAAAGCACGAAGGAGATGTCGTGCCATTATTATGGTTTCATGGTGGGGTTGAGGGTAAAAGCACGAAGGGTGATGTCGTGCAGTTTATGTTCATTATGTTTATCCGTTTCATTGGCTGAAGGTTAATTGACTGTTTCATGTTGTCATTCCCTGTTGTAGTTACCATATTTTGTACCCCTTTTTGTATGTCCCCTCCCAACAGAACATGTTAAATCCATATTTGTTGTTATGTTGTTCGTATATTTTCGTTTGTACACGTTTAATTACATAGGTGTCCTGTCATAATCTCGTCACTATCTCGTCGAGGTTAGGCTCGACACTTACGGAGTACATTGGGTCGGTTGTACTCATACTACACTCTGCATTTTTTGTGCAGATTTTGGTACTGATCCCAGCTATCCGTGAGGCGCATCAACTCGGATTAGCTTATTTGGAGACTCGAGGTAGATCTGCGGGCATCCGCAGACCTTGAAGTCCCCTTCCTCCTTCCTTATTTATTGTTCATCTCATTCTAGACAGTTGTATTTATTTCACACTTTATTTGTAGAATCTCTAGAAGCTCGTGTACTTGTGACTCCAGATCCGGGTTGTACTAGATATTGGATTATTATGCTATTTCGTACTTCACTTTAGCTTCATTTCTGTCTGATTGGTTAAATTGTTTAAAGTGTTTAAAATTGGTAAAATAATTAATCTAACGTTAGCTTTCCTAGCAAGTGAAATGTTAGGCGTCATCACGGTCTCAAAGGTGGGAATTTCGGGTCGTGACAATATGATTAAAAAAATATTTTAAAATGTTGGTCAAATTTCACATAATTTAACTCTCGATATGCAAAATGAATCATCTAAATTGAAATGGAAAAAGTACTGTGTTACCATGTGAACAACGAACTCTATTAAGTCACCAAAAGGAGGAGGAAGAAATAACTAAAGTAGGAGATTAATGAAGAAAAACAAAGTAAAATCATCACACGCACAAACCACTTAAAATATTCAATAGTTAAAAGTTAAAAAACATAAACGTATACTGTATTTAGTGCCAGAAGAATTACAAACGACTGATAGATAGAAAAATCACATAGATAATCCTTCCAAACGGAAGCTGCAAACAATTCCAGCACAACAAAAGAAAAACACATGACATATAACATTGATCAGCAGCGCTGCTTCAATAATTAGCTAGCAAAGAGGATAATTGACTCAAGGCTTCTGAGTCATTGCTGGCTTTGACAAAGTTGGGAGTTCAGGTTTAGGAATTGTAGGAAGCTCGAGTTTTGGTATCGGGGGGAGTTCAGGCATTGGCAGAGTAGGCAGCTCAGGCTTTGGGAATTCAGGCAATTCAGGTTGTGGCAGAGTTGGCAACTCAGGTTTTGGAATTTCAGGGAATTCAGGCTTAAGCAAAGTTGGGATTTCCGGGAGATGTGGCAATTCAGGCTTAGGCAAAGTTGGGATTTCCGGGAGATGTGGCAATTCAGGCTTAGGAATCTCGGGCATAGTTACTTCAAGAAGATGGCGCGCTTCCGCTTGAATTACATAGCTATTTGTTAACGACAAAGTGACAAGTAATACCAAGAAAAAAGATTGGTTGTGGCGATAAGCCATTGTTGAATGCGATAAATGCTTGAAGACTATACTATTTTATGCTTTTAAAGATTATGCCTTAGGCTTTACATTGAACAAGTTTATATAGATATGGAATTGGGAAAATTGGAAGGAGAATTAGGCTTAGGTTGGTGTGGTTAGGAAAATATTTTTGTTAGTTCATCTTCTCAACAATAACGTCCTAATATAGTCTGATATAGCTTTCCATCTAACGCATATTTTATGTTAGTCTTCCTACACAAGTAAAAACATAACAAAGGCCCGTCTCTTCCGGTAGGTAATCTAAAGAGAACTTAATTACGTCTTTAAAATTGTAACATTACGAAATTGCAGGTTACTGATTAAAAATGTGTACCTTTTATGGTAGGTTACATTAATACCGGCTAATTATAACTTGATCTCCATTTCTCTCTTCCTAATCTCCGAGCAAATGGCAAATAGATTACGACTAATGTTCTGATGAATAAAATAACACACCATCACTGTAACGATCCGACCGATTGTTTCGCTTTCCAGATCCATGTTCCTCTAAATAAGACTCCCGGTATGTGCTTTTACTGTTTTATGACTTGCGGGATGGTTAGTTCGGGATTTGGAAGGTTTCGGGTTGAAATCGGAACACTTAGTTCCTTAGCGTTGGCTTAAAGGGGCGAAGTTTGACTTGGGTCAACATTTATAGTAAACGATCTCGGAACCGGGATTTGATGGTCCCAATAGGTTCGTAGGATGATTTTGGACTTGGACGTATGTTCGAATCGGGTTTTGGATGATCCGGGAGCGTTTCGGCTAAAGTTGAAAGTTGGCGCATTGACGGTTTTAAAGTTCTTTAAAATTGGTTTAGAGTAGATTTTGGCGTTATCGAGGTCCGTTTGAGATTTTAACACGTAAAATTGTAAAAATTATGGGTTTAGATGAAAACTTAGGTTTTGATAAAAATTGGGATTTAACCACGAAAATGATTATGGAATTGGGTAAAAATTATATATTTGAGTTCGTGAGGTTATGGGTAACAATTATATTCGAAAATTTCCGGAATCCGGGCACGTGAGCCCGAGGATAAATTTTAGGAATCTTCCAATTGGGGTTGGGTAATCACTTTAATAGTTAGATCATAAAGTTTTGAACATGTATTGATTAATTTACACAACATTTGACTAGTTTCGGATTGTTCGGCACCGAGTTGAGGCTTTAGAGTGGATTTGAGGCTGGAAAGAGAGCTTTGAGACAAGGTAAGTCTCTTGCCTAACCTTGTAAGAGAGGATTTACCTCGTAGGTGATTTAAATTACTATTTGCTCCTAATTGTGGAGGCTACGCACGCACGAGGTGACGAGAGTCCGTGCGTAGCTACTAATTATGTTTGTGTTCGGGCAGTTTAGAACCCGAATCGCGAAATACTTGTAATATTGCACCCTATTTGTTAATTGAAGTGCCTAAATTATTTTGGAACTTAATAGAGGAATTATAAAAGACTGACTTCCACTTACTTGAGTTTTGGCGGGATATTTGACCGTTAAGACAAATTGTGCTCCTTTGTGTATTAGCTTTGTAATGGCTTTTAAACCAAATGCGTATAAAGTATTCTCTTCTTGTGGAGCGGGCCGAACGCCTCAGTGGTAGAATAGATGCATCTATGGTTCGTGCCGATCGACCCTCGGCAGTGTACACATTATTCTGGATTGGGTCGTACGACCTCGGCATAATCGCGCGTGATAATACTCGGAGCTTAATTAGATTTAATATTATTTTATGGCCCGAGAGGTTAAATTATATATAACAGAAATTGACTTGGGATTTACCATTTGTGAAAGAATTATTTATTCCCTACTTGTTATTGAGATATTATTATTATCATAAACCATGCTCATTTAGAATTTCTGTATTTTTATTGTTAGCCCATAGT